CACCCAATCATCCAGAACTTTTAGTACACACTGTAACTGTCTCCCACTTATTTTTGCATCCCTTCACTGGTTTTAGTGAAATTCAAAATTGTATTAATAGCATAAAGTCCTACATGGCTTAGCTCTCGCATAAACACGGAGAACTACTGAGAATTTACAACAGCTTTAAGGATCTCAGATCATCTAATCACGCTCTTAACTGTTAAAAACAGAGGTGCCCACGCTTTCAGGTTACACCTCCTAAACTCTGGAACAGCATTTCTCAGTAATCCAGGTCAGCTGAACCTGTGGTTTGTTTTATAGGATTACTGAGAACTTTATATAAATTACTTTAAAAAAAGAAACGAAAAGCAAAGAAAAGAAAAACAATCTTTCTCCTATTATTTTTGGCTATAGGTTTACATCTGATGTATGTATAAAAGTTGCGTATATATATATTGCGATGAATGCAAGACCATGTGCTGGAACATATTCACTTGTCTTTAATGTGTGGTTTTATTTAAACTGTGAAACACTTTTTAACTCTATTTATTTAAAAGTGATAAACAAATAAAAGTTGTTATTATTATTAAAACAAAGAACAAGCTATTCCTTAAGACAAATATTCACTGTGCTGCTTATAAAGCCAGTCGTCAGACTAAAATAGTCCCCCAAAACAGCAACGCTTTGTTTTCTGTCCTTTTAACTGAGCGAGCAGGGCCACACAGGCCGGCTAACGGTGACAGCAGATACCGTTAGAAACACCCTACAGGCGAGGCACAGCCAGTAGTACCCGCAACAAAGCCTATCGTTTCTATAATAGGAAATCTAGACGACATATTTATTGTAACACCAAACCAAGACAATCTTATTATCAGCTGTTTTGTTAGCAATTTAGCTTGCAGTACATCCAGCCACCTTAGGGTTTAAGAGCTAACCGTTATTTTGTATGTAGGTAGCCGACAGGCTGGAAACTGTGTTTTGAATTAGAATCTTTCTTTAATCGTTCAGTGGAAAAAAATAAATTATCTACCAAATGGTTCGAAGAGTCTTCGTAGCTTCCAGAAAATTCTTCCGCACGCAACCCAGTGTATTCAGAGTTGTAAAAAAAACCCGCTTTTTGCTCCAATTACACAAAAACCAAAGGCTAGCTCTGTGACCAAACTGAAGCGGGCTAACATTAGCCAGCTAACAACAGCCTACCTGTAATGTTGACGTTGTCATTTCATCTCACTTTAATGTGACACGCGCAGATTTCTGTCCTCTGTTCCTCCCCAAAGGTGGACACCTGAAGAAGTGATGCCTTTACCAGCCCTGTTCTGTACGAGGACTGCACGCTCCTGTCATGACAAAACAAAACAGTGGCTAATGCGGCGGCTAGCAAAGATGACAGCTCGACCCAACACGACGTCAACCAACAGGGGAGCTCATACCTGACAGCTTCCGGCGAAGACTTCCAAAGGGCCGTGGCGTAAAAAAAAAAAAACAACAAAAAAGGAAGCAACCACATGAAATATTAATAATACACCAAGGTTATTATATTCTCAGAATTACATTTATATATAAATGTAATATTTTTCTGAGACTATAGAGACCATTTAACTTGGAAAACAACTTCCGGTTTTGTAGCTAAACTAACAAACTTGACAAACTTCAGGGACCTTAGCAGATGCTCAATGGCCTGCAACTACTGCCACCTAGCGGCCACAGCCACAAGCCTTTCTTTAAAGGCCGGAGTAGCTGGAGAAACACTGCGCTCATGTGAAATCAAGTATTTGGGAACATTGTAGAGTGCCCAACTGAACCATGCAAGAAAAAATTATGGGATAGTTAAATTATGTTTGTGTGTGTTTTAATCTGTACATACATTGTGACTGTATTATATAAACCCAGAACACAGCAATATAAAATTGGATTTTGAGTGTAACGTTCACTCACACTCTGATGGATGCATCAGGGGCAACTTGGGCTTCAGTGTCTTACCCAAAGATGCTTTTCAGCAAGCAGCCTGGAGGAGTCAGGAATCAATGCGCCGGCCTTCCAGTTGATCTTCCACCTGATCCACAGTCATCCCTGACAGACGCACCAAATTATGACCCCCACCAAAAATCTTCCTGACGCTTTTCCTCCACAAACACGTTGAAAGATCTATGGGTACTTCTTTGAGCAGCAATTTTGAAAAATTATAAATGACACATTATAAATAATAAGTAAATGATAAAAGAAAAAAAAGTATTGAAAAAAGTACTAAAAGTAATCAGTAACTGTCTAAAAGTCCAGCCAGTCAATGCAATTGTGCCATTCAGACTAACCTGCCACTAATATCTGGATGTCTAGTCAAAGTTCACTAGAACGGAAACAAAAAAATGTTTATAGCGTGTTTAGTATTAAAAAGGTTCAGTTATCATAAACACAAAGATGCTCTGGTTCATCTGACTGAGCTGTGGGCCACACATCACACAGAAAACCACTGAAAACACTGAAAAACAACACCTCGGTTTCTGTAACTTACAACAGTTTTATTGGTAGGTATGTACATTTGAGATTACTACATTGTTATCGTACATTGTATACCGTCTCTTGGAAGGAAATCTAAAATAGTTTGCATATGACAGGTTGTCGCAGCAGCATTTATCCTCGCGACTTTTCAGTTTCATGATTGTGTTGGACGCAAGCTGCCACAGATAATACCTTTGGTTCCACAAACCCCTTCTTTGAAGCGTTGCATAGACAGAACAGCCACGATTTGAGAACAAAGAGAGGAAGGAGATAAAAAGTGTACATTCACAGGTTTAAAAGGGGTTTGACAGGTTAGTGCATCGAGCTCAGAGAGGAACAGGACGGCCTCGTAGCTTCTTAAACTTCACATAATCAGATCAGGTTAGAGCAGTTAGAGTGACAAGAAAGCAAAAGTGTGGTGTAAAAGCATATCCCTTTCACTAATGCTTCAAATGTTGCAGAAACTGACTTCATGCCAGGCTGAGCATAGCTCAAACTGTAACGTTTTAAGGGAAGCAAAGCTTACTTCTGCTGTAACACAGCCAACATTAACTGTAGCTTGAAAAGGCTTAAATCGCTAAACAGGAAGTGAGTGTACTGTGATGAATTTTCACATTCATTAAAAGAAAAAAAAAAAAAGCATCACAAGGACACGATGTCCCAAATGGGACAGAGGTCATTCAGGCGGGTGACTGTGCTCGTATCAGAGAACCGGGGTTATCTTGTTTTCCTATGTTGCAGTCAGTGCGCACAATAGCACATTGTGTTCTTTTGGAAATCAGACAGAGGCTCTACTGAAGGGTAACTTTAGCTACATGTACCATGAATAAGCTGACAGTGATTAAAATGTGTTTATTACAGTCACGTTGAACTCATTAACTAGCCAACGCAGGCAAAATGAACTGAAGGGGGAAGAATGGTCAACTTGCATATATTGGAAAAAAAAAAAAAAAATCTGGTTCAGTCAGTTAAATATCACGTGCATCACATTGTGTCTGTCAGCACACTGACTACATGAACACCAACACTGCTGCGAGTGACCAATACTACTTACAAGCGCTCATCATTTCTCAACATTTAACACAATTTTAGCACATCGGAGGGTAAACAAGAACGAATGGCTGGCATTCTTTTTCCCTGTGCTAACTTTGCATTATAAT